GTCAACGTTAAAATTAAGTTATTGGAGCTAGAGATATTTTTGGAATAAGACTTTGGCATAGACTTTTCTCCCTGATGTGATAATTAATTTTCTTTTCCATTTCTCATTTTGGCTTTGCTCCTCCATAGAATGGGCCAAGTCAATGGACAGTATGACAAACACCACACACTTGGGAGTTAATAGACTTCTCTCCGTGATGTGATGATATCTTCATATTTGGTATATATATATATATATTTTTAAGATAGTTTTTATAATAATAGTAGTCTAACCAATATATTTGATCAGTAAGGATATTTTAGAAAGACAACACCTATTTATTTCATATAACTAACTTAATTAGTTTTCTTAATTTACTCAAATATGTCAACTAGCTCTTTTATAATGATTGGAGGCAGTGTACTTTATAGTTAGCTATTTATAAATGCTAAGAGAAATTGTTTTAAAATAGTTTAGCATTTTAGATTTTGTCCCAAATAACAATTATTTTTTTAAGAGAATTTTACTCATAAATAAATTACTTTGCAATATAAAGTTAATTATCATGAATCTCTACCGTAATCACAGTTCCTATGGTTGAGAGCGTGTAAAATGGGTCTTGTGTGAGTCAACATCAAAATTAAGTTATTGGAGCTAGGAATATTTTCGAAATAAGACTTAGGCATAAATTTTTTTTTCATGATGTGATAATTAATTCACTTTTCCATTTCTTATTTTGGCTTTGCTCCATAGAATGAGCCAATTCAATGGACATCGTGACAAACACTACACAATCAGAGAGTTAATAGACTTCTCTCCATGATGTGATGATATTTTCATTTTTCCATTTCTCATTTTGGTTTCGCTACAAAGAGCGGACCAACTCAGTGAACAATATGACAAACTTGGTGAAGCTTCCTGCGTCAATTTCATTGAGAGAAGCGTGTATTATTTTAGTTCCACTTCTAGATATAAATATAAAAGCTAGATAAGAATTTATTTTGATTTTAAATATAAAATTTTGATCTATTTTGTCTTCCCAAATTTATAATTTCATTATGTAGCTAATTCGTCAAAAAATTTGTGAGTAAATTTTTAAAAATATAATACATATTATCAATGTTAATTAAAAATAAAAATTAAATTTTAAAAAATTATTTGTAAAAAATTATTTATGATTTAAAGTTCAAGATTAGTTTCATTTGAAATTAATATTATGTTAAAAATAATTTTTAAAAGAAATAAAACGTTATAAAATAAATAGTAAAACAAATATTTAAAATTTTTTTGTCATAATAAAAATTAAATTATTATATAATTTATTTTTAGTTTTTAATGATATATATATGTGTATATATATAATTGTTTGGGTAAAAATATTTTATATATATAATTTTACTTTAAATTTTATAGGTCATCACAGCTTAACTAATAAAAACAAATATAGGCATATGAGGTCTTTTATTTGGGCATGAAGAAGTCACATCTGATAGGTATTATTTGGTGGTGACACGTAGTGGTAGCCGGTGACTATCACAGGTGCCAAGTGGCATTTTAAATTTTTTTTTAAATTTAGATTAACAACAAATTAGGGATAAAATTTTTTTGTCACTAATTAGTAGCAAAAAATTTTCTTAACTAATTCGTCACTAGTTAGGGATAGAAATTTTTTTATCACTAATTAGAGATGTAATTCTGTCACTAATTTAATTAGTGACAGAAACAAAGTTTTTTGTTAAATAAAAATTTTGTAACTAAATTTTATTGCTAATCACTTTTTTTTTTTTAGCGGCTCAACTTGGACCGACAGGCTTTTCATCGGTACATGTTTGTAGAGATCTTTTATGAAAGAAGACTTGTCAAAGTCTAAAAAAATACATGCCAGGCTAGTAATTAGGTGACAGGCCTTTTTCTTCTTTAGCCATTTCGTGCTCAAATTTTTTTCATCCTTTTAGTAACAGTTTAATCTTCTTTATTTGGACTCTTAATCTATTATTTCCGACAAAAAAACATATGCAATGCGCCGTGTTGTTTAGGATGAACAAAGATTAAAGAAAACAAATTTCCATCCTTTCAGGCACGTTTGAGTTTTCCCAAATGCGTCTCAGTTTCCTGCAAACTCATCAAAGTCCACACTAAACTATTTTAATTCGTAATAAGCCCTTGCGGATAGCTAGACTTAGGGCTTCTCTAGTAGTCCGATGAAAAAATTAAGGCCAGATGAGGGCTTCTTGACGACTTACTTTTCCATCTGCACACACTTGGCGATGACCAGAAATGATTGATCGATCGCTTTGATTCCAATGTGCAATGTATTTTGAAAAGGAATCACGGATGGAAGACAGGGTTGTCCCTTTTGTTGACGACGTCTAAGCCATAGCAACCACATATTCGAAATTCATATCTAATCTCGTTGTCTTGGAAACTTTCGCTGAAGCTTCAATTCTTCATTCAGTTTCATTTGGCTCTCCGCTTTTAAAGGACAAGTAAATTAAAATCGCACTTGTTCTGAAAATTTTGGGCAATGGAGGTGTCTTTAAAAGAAGGAAAAAAATAGGCATGTGTACTACAAAAAAAATTGATCCAATTAATAAGGATATAATTTATATTTATTTCATAAGAATTTGAATTTAAATCTTATTATCAATATCAACATCTCATTGATAAACAATTTATAAATATTTTTGTAAATACATTGATCTTGAGTCTTTGAGTAATCTAACTCATCTACAAATTTATTTTTCTTCTACATGAAAACGTTGGGATTTACACAATTAATTTTAATAAAAACTATGTTGAATTTTAGTCAGCATCATTTTGAGCTGGCTCATTATATCCACATGTTTTATGCGTCTTTGGTTAGAACAAGTCTCCAATAGAAAGCTAATAAAGATTAGGTTTAGCAGAATAGATTAATCTCTTACAAATGTAATAAATCAAGATTCAAATTTCTCTGAGAAGGGATGTTCCGATTTAGCACTTGAATATATAAGACTTACATAGATTATGAGTTCTAAGTCTAAAAAAAATATGCAAATTATATACTCCTCTGGTCCTATTCATAAGTTATTTATAACATATTTCACACAAACTAAGAAAAACATTAAACTTTATTAACACTCATTTAAAATTCAACAACTTTTTAATTTTATCTTTATTTAATATACATTATATCTCATGTAATCAAAGTCAACATAATAATAAATAAAGGGTGAAATTGAATATCCATACAAAAAATTTCTCCCAATACCCCATAAATAGGACCAAAAAATATCTTTTCTGTTTGTCCTGTAAATAAGACTAGAGGAGTATTGTTATTTCATTTCTTCTCTTTTACGCGAACTTCTAAGCTGAGATTCCATCAGTTTTTGTATTGCATTACAAACTATCAATTTAATATCTTATGCTCTGCTACATATATGGAGAATGTCAATGGGAATTGTATATTTCGAATTTGAAACTCAACTTTTCTTGTTCGTGTTCTTAATTTTTATTAAACATATACTTCGAGTACATGTACATATATGGAGAATGTCAATGGGAATTGCATCCTCATAATATTATTCTCTGTATATCTTGATACTTCTTTATCCCATCCTTACGTGATCTAAAATATCGATCTATGGATTATTCCCCAACATTTGGTAAACTTCATGGGCATTATAGAAACCTTTTACAGCAAACCCACATGAAAGCTTTATCTGCTATTTATATATGAAAAACATGCTAATTAAGAATGAATGAGATATTTCCCCCTTAACTGATAATTAATCATGCCTATTACAGCTAGATTATGAAGAGAGCAGATATTGAGAGAGAATATGTAGCGATGATCCATTTCCAATGTTAATTATTGGCGATAAATTTTGACCATTACAAACTGCAATTATGCTCGGTTTGAACGCATATCATATGAAAAAACAAAGAAGTCTTAGATATATGCTTTACATGTTGCATCCTTCTATTCTCAAGAAACAAGGCTCAAACAACATACGCATACAAATGACACAACAGCACACAACAAAAGGAAAACTTCCAAATCAACCAAACCGGTTAATATTTTATCATTATTGACTGTCACTCTACTTCTTGGATTATTTCTAAACCTTGCATCAGACTTCTTGTAGGCATGCTGGCTCTTTTTCTGGTTGATGTACCTTCAGAATTAAAAGGATTCGGAGGGATTGGTAATTTGTCTTCTTCTCCTTCTAACATTTGAACCACTGCTTGTATTGATGGTCGATCTACATGATGCCACTGAATGCACCACAATCCCACTATTCCCAACATTCTTGCAATTTTACCATCTCCTTCTTCCTCAATATGAATCCTTACATCCTCCCTTTTTTCTAAAATACTATAGATCCATTTGGGATAGTAAATATGGGTCGCATTTTCTTTGATGTCATGGGTGATGCTTCTTCCCCCTATTACTTCAAGGAGCAACATCCCGAAACTATAAACATATGCTTTGTGAGATACATTTCCAAAATTTCCAGAGAATACTTTGGGAGCAATGTAACCCAAAGTTCCTCTAGCATTAGTCATTGACACTATGCTTTGATCTTTAGAGCACAATTTGGCCAGCCCAAAATCACAAATTTTTGGAGTGAAATCAGCATCCAATAAAATATTGTGAGATTTGATATCACAATAAAGTATGCGTTGTTCACACCCTTGATGAAGATACTCAATGCCTTTGGCTATACCAAAAGCAATAAGGTGGAGCTTTTTCCAACCAATAAAGCTTTTCCTGTTATCTGGTGAATTTATGAAATTTTGTAATCAACCATTTGGAAAGTATTCGTAAACTAAGGCTCTTCTAAAGCCATCTGCACAAAAGCCCATTAACCGAATAATGTTGACATGATGGATTTTGCCCATTGTTCCAACTTCAGTAATGAACTCTTCACCATTTCCTTTAGAATTAGTGAGGATCTTCATTGCAACTTTGAACTCAGATGAAATGCTTCCTTTGAACACAGTGCTGAAAGATCCTTCCCCTGACTTGATTTCAAATTGATTGGTAATTCTCTTGATTTCAGCATAAGAATATCTGGTTGGCTTGCAAGCTCTATAATCTTTCAGAAAATTTTCAATTATTGCTTGGCTTTCTTTTCATGATTTGTAGGAGTTGCGAACATAATGAATTACAACCGGCGTCACCACTAGAAGAAGTGAGCCCATGATCCTGCATACGTGAGAGATTGACTTTAGTTTCAAGATCAAAACAATTGGCCTTGGGGAGAAAATACCAAGTCCAACTTGAAGCTGACATGGAATCACAAATTTGTGTGATGAGTCTGCAAAAGAAATTAACATGATTGATCAATTTAGCTTGTTCATATGATAACTTAACCCAATCATGACTTACCATGTGAGGACTCTAATGCTTTTCATGAGACAAGAAATGTGTATGTTCGTGTGACTTCGTATGCTCATTATAGGTGATTACACACACACACATATTATATATTTATTCATGGATGCATGCTATGGTCGAGTTATCTAAATGACATACATCTTGAAAAGATGGAGCAGGTTTAATTTGATGCAAGACATGAATATCACCTTTGTAAAGAACCTCAAAACATGCAATATCATCACTACTATTCCTCTTGTTGAATCCGCATCTCGTTCGATTTGATTCACAATATTTGCACCTTGGATGAGACCACATCAAATGAAGTGTGTTTTCAACACCAAAAGTCTCAGGTGCTACAGATGAAATGTCAAATATTTTGCTGCAAGAAAAGGGGAATTAGGTCATCGATATAGGCGCCAGAAGAAACAGCATATACTTGATAAGTAGAGCTGTCGAGGCACGTTGAAAAGAATTCTCCATGTCTTGGCGATGAGCAATTGAAAAGGGTGTAGTCTCGTGGGGATATGAATTGGAAGGGGGAAGGGTACAAATTGAGGTCGCGGACATGCCTCAAGAGACAGCCAGAAGGATCATATAACTGAATGATTTGGTTTTTGTAATCGATGTGTTTGACATTGAACTTGACTAACCTAGGGAGCTCAAGAACAACATGATTGGTAGATGGACATTGTAAATCAAACCCAGGGTACCCATACTGTGCTGGTTGGCGTCCTATTAGTTAGAAAGGAAACCGAACAGGTAGGTTTCCGCACTGTGTTTTAGGTTCTGGACAGCTATTCGAGCTTCCTGCAGACTCTGAAAACCCAAGAATTAGAAACAAACATGCAAAGAAGGAGGAGTTTGCAGGTGAGATTTCCATTTCCTGGTTTCCCCGGAGTAGCAAGATGAGATAACAAGTTCCTGATTTCATCTCAAGTATGAAACCAAGATATTTTTCCAGACAAGTGTGGCTTCCTAACGTTTTCCTTGCATGATGTACCTGCTTACGTCAATAAACTCTCACCTAATTTGTGAATTATTGGAATTCCTATCAAGTGTCAACTTCAGTATAATTTCTATGCAACTCTCAGTGATAAGAAACAACTTCTCTATGACGGTGTGAATATACACACGTTTGTCAATTTTTTTATGGTGCTGCAACACTGTCGGTGTCAAAAGAAAATTTTCTAGGAAACTTCTTGATTGTAAGATATACAAGGTTGGAAGGCCTTTTATATGTCTTTCCAGAGTTGAGATCACTGATAACTTTTTGTTTTGAGATCATCATGACAAGGGACATGTGCTCCTCATCAACACAATTTCTGGTGGCTCTGTTTCTGATAATGTTATTCTGCAGAACTTGCAAGGCATCAGATGGTGGACACCAGAACTGTTCTCATTTGTCTGGAGGTCTTAATTTTAGCAGACCTTTTCTTCTAAACGACTCTCCAGAGCAGTGTGGTGAACTCCGGTACAACCTATCTTGCGAGCACAACCAACTAGTAATGTACTGGCAGTCTGGGAGATACAGTATTTTGTCTATTGATTATGAGAAACACATAATCAGAGTGAGGGATGCTAATATTGTGGAGTTGGGTTCCTCCTTCCTACCTGAGTATTCTTTAGCATACGACAACTTTAGCAATGAATGCTACAGCAATGAAAATGAAGTTCAGTTATGGCATGGACGGTACTACAGGAATATGATGATGATGTTCGTAAAGTGTGAACACCCTGTGCATTCCCCTGGGTTTGTGGACATAGGCCCTTGCTTCAACACTTCAAAGGGGGCTACAGCTCCTTCGTCTTCATATTCGTATGTACATGTGAATGTTGTCTACGAAACTCTCCGTGGTTTGGGATTAGACGATGGTTGTGGTATAGAACTGATATATATGACGTCGTGGCCTGCTACGCAGAGCAACCAGTCTTGGTCCTGCACAGACATCCACCATATGCTTCTTTACGGCTTTGACCTTTGTTGGCCCAGTCTATGTAAGTCCATTAATCGCTTTAATACCCTGTTAATACGTATACACTCTACGTAACTGGAACTTATTTTTATCATTTTTGGTCTTTAATTTATGCTGGTTCTCTCTATCCTTATCCCTTGTTTTTGGAATTCCTTGAAATAAGTCGATCATATTGTTAAAACATTATGCATGTGACTCCAATTTTTTGGGGGATAAAAATATCTAATCTTTTCAATTATTATATTATAATTGTTAAAATACGAACTTGTGTAGTTGAGTAGTTTTAGATTGTTGCGTTGCCAAAAAAAAAAAGAAGTTTTAGATTGTTGCATATGAAATAAGTTTAATTGTGAATAAAAATAAGAACCAGAATAAAAGTGCATTTTGATAGAATCGATTTTCTTATTAAATGTTATTGTTATCAATATAGGATACTCTTCCCATCCTTAATATAGGACTTAATTAACTAATTTGAGTAGAGTAAAGATATTAGTTAAATTAGTTAATATAATTTTTTTAAAACACCCTTATCACTTTTCTTAATTATTTTCCTTCCTCTTCTACTTGAATATTGTTGAGGAAATATCAACAAGATTAATTTGAAAAAAATTGATAAACATATTAAATAGGTGAAATATATAAGACCAATATCAACTCTTAAATTAGTTCATATACTAAGGACCGGAAGAGTATATCAAATTTATTAATAAAGATATCTTGAATATTTTGTTCAAAGTATTTAGTTACTCCCACCATCCTATTTATAAGCTTTAAATTTGAAAAGGGTGTGGTCCATTATATAAAGTTCAATTTAGATTTTGTCTCAACATTTAATAGTTTTTTTTTTTCAATTTTGCCCTTAATGATTATTTTCTCTTCTTTGCCAAACACTCCCATCATATTTTCCCATGCATTTTATTTTATCCTTTTTTTTATTTATTATAAGGACATATTTTAAAATAAAAATATATTTCTTATTTATTTATTACTTTTAACTGATTTTAACTGATTTTTTGTTATATATAAACCATTAATTTGAAACTCATAATAAGTACTCGAGCGATTCACGTTTAGAGTAATGAAAATGAGATTACTAATTTACCTCATTTCATAGGTTAAAAAAAAAAAAAAGATAGTACTACTTCTCATCCTAGATATAAAATTTAGGTTGTAGTTTAATTTTAAGAATTATTGGTTGGTAATTAACTTTAGTTTTGCCAAGGAAGAAAAGTAGGGTCATATTTGGTCTATGAAACAATCTTTTATTGAAATTGAAATGTGAATTAAAAGATAATGAGAGTGAAAATGAGTTTTAATTTGATGATGTAATGAAAAGGAGAGACATTATATTCTTTTTTAAAAAAGAATTAAGAACTCTTTATGTTGGACAACTTGTTTTAAATTTGAGGAAAAATTACACCGCAGTTTCACATAAGAATGGTAATACAACAAAATCCCACCAAATGACGAAATAGCTGGCTGTCATGTCTCTCGGCACTTGGGTATAAATAAGTTTAGAATTACAGTTACAAAACTATCCTACTGGATTTTTTTTTGCCAAAAAAAAAAAACAATTACAAACACCAATAGCCAGCCAGGAAAAAAAACCATTCAAATAAAACCGAGAGATACAACCCATCACACAGCAAAACCAAAAAACAAAAACCTAAAGTACAACTTATCAAAAGAACCATACTTTTTTCCAAAAAAAAAAAAATTATATTTGATGTTTTTTGTTTATCTCCTAAACTTTTTTTTTTATTTATATAAAGACGTCACTCTAATTTTTATACTTTCAACTATTTATCTATATTTTTTTTATAATTATATCGCGTTAATCTATTCCCCACCATAATTGCTCGACCCATCATAGTTTTTCATTGTGTAAGAGAAAAAGTGATCCACCATCACAAGGATATAATGATTAGCACGCTGGCACTTGAATGTCCACCGAAAACTCATGTTATTCTCTAGTATTCTCCTTCTTTTATTTTTTTTTGTCAATTATTTTTCTTAATTTCTAAGAAAAATCATGTGTGACATGTCAAATAAATACGTATCAATGTATCATGTCTATGTGACGGCCATCATACATTTAATATTTTCTTAGTTTTAAGGAATATATAACTTTTTTTTTTGGTTTACATTGGATATCATTTTATTGTGAGTGAATTTTTTTTTATTTTACAATATTCTACCACATATCCCTACTAATGCATTCGTGCATCTGGTGCGGCATCAGCAACCAGATTGGGCATACTTGAACGGATCCGTTGGGCTATCGCAGGTAAGGCATCTCATGATAACCCATAACGTTTTGGGTTCCATGCATGGAAGTTGCGCTGGATCAAAGAATTAATCTCTTTGAAAAAAGTCATAAATTTCTGCTGCTTATATATAAATTTTTTTTATGAATTTACTTTCAAATTTGTCCTACATCAACCCTTTTCCCCTTCAGAGATTACTTTCATGAGCTATTCATTTTACTGTATTTTGTGTAAACTCATAGTCTCCCCAAATTATTCTAGATTTGACTCTCTCTCGGATTGGGAGCATTAAAGTTAAAACCTCTCAACAAATATGCTTTCTGAGATTCGAATTTGTGCCCTCGTTCTTACAAGGATGAGATATTTACTATCTCAACCAACATCTTATTAGTTCATTTTAATATAATCTTTGTTGAATGATAGTGTATTTTTATTTTACGTTTCTTATACGGTACATGAATAATTGTTTATAGCTTGCGAAGGAATAGCTAGTGTCAAGAGCTCACTTTCATACTGATATAACAACTTCATCACAGCCTACCCAATGTGGCACTAAATGTTTTCACATTAATCATAGTACCTTCTCGCAAGAGAAACTTATATCAATTTTTGTTTCCTCTGTTTTGCAGCTTGTACGTCAGCCATCTTAGGTAATCCTTGACTTTAACAAACTTGTATAATTTTTAAGAACATAAGAGTAGACAGTTCAATGACTGGCCAAACAATAGAAACTCAATACTAGTTTCAGTTAAAGGGTACTTTCTAATTATCTATTTTCTCATTTAAATTTTCATTAACAGTCATGTATACGGGAGGTAAATTTGTGCTGGGGGCTCCATTTGTCATTGCCCTTTTGATCTGTAAATGGCGACAAAGGCATTTATCGATGTATGAAAGCATTGAAGATTTTCTGCAAAATGACAACAACATCATCCCTATAAGGTACTCCTACAATGACATCAAGAAGATGACAAAAGGATTTAAAATAAGACTTGGGAAAGGAGGCTATGGCTCTGTGTTCAAAGGACAACTTCGAAGTGGTCGTGATGTGGCTGTCAAGATGTTGGATAAGGCTAAAGCCAATGGTCA